TGAAAGGTGTGCCATGGGCAGAGCACAGTAGACAGTGCTGAGGGGACTCTGTGCACCAACTACAGCTCATAGGGCTGCCCAAGGCTGGCCAGGCCAGGCCAACACTTACAACATTTGCTGGTATAATAATGTCAGTTAAGAGTGTGATTTTTTTGTTTTTAACCAACATTTTTAGATAAGGAAAAGCCCTAGTGTAGATGGAGGGATACCACCAAAAGAGTTCTTTCATTGGTGTAAACTTTGTCTGCACTAGGAGGGTTTGTTAGTATCTCTATATAGGTAAAGCTATTTTGGTGTAGATTAGGCTTCAGTTATGCTGGAGGGGGGTTTCTTCAGCCCTCAGAGCAACCCAGGGTTGGAGGAACACAGTTATCATGAAGTCACTTTAACCCCCCTTCCCTTTGGGCTGTAAGTTCTGTGCTGCCCCTATGCGCTATGAACAATCTCTGGCATTGAAACCAGAGTATGATGTGGATCTATAACAACAGATTGTTTATATCTACAAAACATATTTCTGTGCTCTATCCCAGATCCACACAGGCAGCCTGAATTTCTAAGGTGCTGAGAACCTGTAACTTTTGTTAAGTCAATGAGAGCTTGTGTGGGTGCTCAACATCTTCAAAAGTAAAACCCAGGGTCTGTTTTAAATTGTTCATAAAGAGCTGGCATTGTGAAGACAGGGCAAATATGAATTTCCACCAAAATTTTCATCACACTGCTGAACATCAGTTCTGATATATTTTTAGTGGGTGGCACTTGAACTATGGCTTGGACTTTTTCTAGATTTCTGTGTATTTCCTCTGTACAGCCTTGTGGCCAAGATCGATAGTTGAGTTTGTTCTTGAATACGTCTATTTAATTTCAGTCCAGCAGCCTCAATTACCTTCACAACTTGTTTTAACCTTATATTGTGCTTGTCTTCAAACTCCCCACAAACAGTCATCACTGAAATTTTCTACTCCCTCCTTACAGAACCTAATTTATTTCCTTTTGGAAGATTTTTGGGGAGTTTGTGATGACGGATGGAAAGTGACAAAAGCAATAGCTTCCAAATGGAATTATAAAAGTTGTTGGCTTGACACTGTCAGGGCAGAGTGAAATTTACCAGAATCCACTATGCTCATGGTTTCCTACACTTTAAATAATAAATAAATAAATAAATAAAAAACAGTGTAGACCACATCTTGATAAAGAATCGATTCCCCTCCCACTCACAATTACACTGGCCACCCTCTTTCCATTCACAATTACATAAGATAACTGGGACAAACACAGCTGACAACTGCTTACATGGAAAAATAATTCTAGGAAAATATACTTTTAACAGTCTTTAATGCAATTTTGCAGCTGGAAACAAGTGGAGAAGCCAACATCATGTAACCAGCTTTTTGCACCTTCTCAGCAATTAATCCACGGAGCACAATTTTGGAACCTCTGATATAAGTGGTTGGTTGTGGTGACCCCAATAATTATTTACAAAGATGTCAAACATACACTCTTTGACTTTGTAGCTAGTACAGGCTACATTGAATTGTCTCAGGCAATTTACCCACTACATTGGGCCATTCTAACCTGGGTCACTTCATCTATGCCTTTCTTTTCCTTTTCCCATCACCATCATGGCCTCTGCTTTTTGCCCTATTATTCTATTTGCCCTGTCTCACTCATGTCCTTCTCACAGAAGACGCTGAATCCTTTTTCCTTTAGAAGCTTCCTCTAGGGATACAGAAGGGCCTGGAGAGGAGTTTCTAAATCTCAGTCTACACAATGTGTCTGGAAACATCCTTTTAAAATACGTCAAACTTCTGGTGGGGTTTCATTAATCTTATTTGAGATTTTGCCATATTCCCCAATTAGATATAGAATGGCATTTACTGTCTTTTGAGACTCCCTATCACAGTATTAGCCACACATCAGATCTCTTCATTCCTTCTCACTCAACTTTTATTCCCTTGATGATATTATTACTTCCCAAAAAAACTGTTTGGCTGTACAGCCAAATTCAATAATAACTGGGATAATAGATATCTCTAGATAGTTATTTTATGTAATGAAAAAGCCTGTAGATTGTGTCCCCACATGAGGCTACAAATGTTATCTGTTTAGAGAAGTCTTTAAATATGTTATTTCCAAACCCAGATCTATGCTTAGGATAAAATATTTTAAATTTATGCTGTGAATTACTTCCTCCACATCAAGGATTATTGCTACCACTTGATCCAGGCTACGTTGGTCTGTGTGAAGTCAATCAATAATCTTGTGTTATTAAGTTCCTATACAACCTAAATAGAATGCATTATGATGGGTAGAATATGCTTAGTCTTTCTGGCTAATGCTTTCAATTAAAAAATCTAAATACATGCTCATTAACTTTAAATTGTGTTAATTTATGTTAATGTTTTATAAATTAATCAAATATGTGAAATGACAAAGTAATCAGATTGTGAAGAGGCTCTGTAGTCCCAGTGTGGGTATTTGCTAAAGAACAATTAAATTGGATGGAAACCACTTCCATCAATCAGTTCTTTCATCCCCTTCCTTTTATTATACGTACTACACACATAATATCAAAAGGGATGCATATACATACATGATGTATGTGTATTGTACAAAGTCTAGAGATCATTTCACCACACAAAACATAATACATCTAGTTTAGATAACTCCACCTAGCTTTCTTATGTAATTACTGTAACATCATCCATTTTAAGCTGGACCCATTTCTAAGCAGCATAGCCGACACTAATTATTCAGCAATCTAAATTAATCAGAGTTTCATCAAAAACCAATTCTACACAGAAACTCACATCCAAGCCTTCATCATATTAAGCAATAATAGCTCTACAAAAATAAAGTAATTGTAAAATTGACTATTTGAATATTAATTTCTGAGCTCTGATTCAGTAGATTTGCCTCTGATTTAATATGGTTTTATGTGTGCAAAAGAAATATCTTCACATAAAATAAATAAAAAACATTAACATAGGGACACTGGAAAAAATTAAAAGAAAGTTTACTTTACCTTGACTTCCACTGATTTATGTTATTTTCAGAGTCTTCTGTAGCAATGTATTTGGTTCTGGAAATGCAGAACATCATAACACATGCATCAACAGTGAAAAATCTATTTGGTTAAAATTTTAAAAAATATTTTAAAAATCAGCATATTTTAAAGGTGTATGGTTTATTTAATCTGACTAGGATAAAATAGGTATAAAATTTGAAGACAGCTGGAAGTGTGTGCATGATGATATGGATCTAACTTGCTTGCAAAGTCCTCATCACAGTTCCTTTAATATAGAACTATTTACATTCATTTCCCTGTTGAAACAGTGTATGGAAGATTGCTCTGTCTAAATAGGATTCAGCCAAGACCTATGTTTGGCTTAACCAATATTCGTCTATTTCCCCTTCACCACATCTTCTGCCATTCTGCCTATTTATAAGCATTATATAATCATGTATAGCAAAATCCTGGAAACAGGATATCAGCATTTTCTTTTAGTTCAAATAAAATACAAAAATATTTAAGCTGATATGTATACAAACTATATATATATAGAGAGAGTTTATATGCATGCCCACAGGTTCTATTTTCTTAAGTTGTAAATTCTATAAATCCCTACATATCTCCTTTAGCTAGTGTAGATTTTCATATATGTTTGGAAAAAAGTCATTTTTAATTCCTGGAATATCATTTAACGGAATTGTGCATAAAAGAATAATTGGTGAACAAAGCCAAGTCCTTCTCAGAATAAACAGCCACTAGTTTAATATCCTCCATTTCTACTGGAACATTAGCTTAAGATGACCTTTGTACCACTGAGCAAGGTACTGAAAATAAGCTGTCAGATAACACTCTGTCAGAATAGCTGTGATGAAATAAAGAGCTGCAGCCCTGGAGCTTTCTAAAAAGGATGTCAGTGGTGCTCAAGATAAAATACTAAATATGCATCCTGGATTTAATTGAATGAAACTAGAGTTCAAGGCCCCTAAACACAATCTTTGCCACAATTTTTTCACCTGTAAGAACAGACCACATTTCAGGTGTCTGATGACAAACTGGATTTTAAGACCACTTCTTAGAAGTACAATTTTTTTTTAAGCCTTTGCTCTTGGGGGTAGATACAGTTTTTGAAGTTTTGATATGTAGGAAGAAAGGGTCACCAGATTGTTAAAGGAGTGAGGGGAGTTGAGCAAGTTAATAAAGGCCAAAACCCAACATCCTTATTCCTCTAGTTTGAAAATTGTGTAGGAAGAATCCAACAAAACAAAAATGCACTGTACAACACATCATCCCAGTCCCTCTGCTTTAGTCATTGAGGCCCTGATCCTGCCCCATTAAAATCAATGAAAGCTTTGCCATTGACTTCAATGAGAATAGGATAAAACTCTGAAATAATTAGTTGACAGGCAGCAATAGAATATAGTCTTCACTGGCTTTTTTCTTCTATCAGCTTCCATGATAGAGAATCACATGTTGTTTTCAAAAAGTTTCAGAAGTATTTTTTCTAGTTTTTTAAAAACGACATCATGCATGAACCAATGACAAAATCTACCTCTGTTTTAAGTTGTGGTTTTGGAGGAAGGAGAGAGACAAACTATTTGACACTTCTGTTGTAAACTCTTTGGGCAGGGACTGCCTTTTTGTTCTGTTTGTACGGTTATAGGAGCAGAATTTTATAATTGTACTATGAGAATTAATGTATGATTTGATTTCATCCTGCCAACCACCTTATTTGAATAGCAGAAAGGAATGACACTCTGGGACTATGGGATTCCGTTTCCCATATGCATTACAAATTGGGCCCTTTTAGTTCTTTGTTTTAAGGTATAGTTAGTAAGAGACAGGATCCTGTATTGTATCTATGTTAAGTAGATTAGAGGAACGTTGAAGGCCTGGGCCTCAATGTGAATTGTTTTGGTTATAAAATTTAGCAAGGCTTAATTTACAATGTCTTTTTGCTTGATATAAAATACTGCTGTTTGTATTCTCAAAGGTCTGTGTAAAAGACTGTTTGTGTGAATGAGGAATGCATGCATCAGGAAAAGATAAGGTGTGAAGACCATTGTTAACCAGATGGTCAAGAAAGGAGGAGCGAAGACACTTAGAGACTTCTTGATGCCAGAGAACCATCAACGCACATCCATGATTGAGGAAGGACAGATTGACGACCCTGATGTGGAGGCTGGCACCCCCTAAAGACAATCGATGACCCTCTCGGAGGTGTTTTGGAATGTTAACATCAAAAGATAACACCAATTAAGAAGTAACCGGTCATAAACTGACACAGCAAAATCCATAGACTTCAACAGAGGAAAAAAACCTGACTATAAGAACAGGGTGCTTTGCCATGGGACCTCGGGTTCGTCTTGCCACTACTCCAGGAGCACCGGATTGCGACTGACAGAGCCCGGCTCCCCTCTGTGACCAATCTGGCTGGCCACTAGATTGATCCAGACTCTGGGCTGGTAACTATAAACATAGGCTGGCGGGACTGTGTGCATGGTGTGTGTGGGTGTGTGTGACTGAAAAGTATATGCTAACTGCTGTATTCTCAATAAATGTGGCGTTTTGCCTTCTCCCCTATAAAAGATCGTGTGTGCTTTGTATAGCATGACACAATGCCTAGCAGAATGGGGTCTATAGTAACTTTGCAGGAATTTCAAAGAGGAGCTATTTTAACTTTAATCTAGAAGAGGACTTGTATTACCACATCTGTTATTACCACACCTGTTAAAAACGATCAGTGATATCTCCATAATGAACCATACAACTGAGCAGTTGGACTAGAAGCCTGGACAGAGATCCAAACGCACAAGCCTCCACCACGGAGCTGGATGAAAACTTGTTATAGTTAGTAGCTGTAAGAGGACCTCTAAATATCCTAAGTTACAACCAGCCAAAATACAACTCCCCTGTCCCACCCCAAAAGCTGCCAAATGTCATAAGTCTATGGGTATGTCTTCACAACCTGTTGCAGTGAGCCTCCAGCTCCAGTTGCCAGATTTGGGGTTGCAGGGCTTGCACTAGTACTCTCAGAATAGCTGGGTAGATGATGCTTTGACTCAGGCTCGAGCTCAGGCTCTGACACCCACCCGCCTGCCTTGGCTTCAGAGCCCGAGCTCCAACCTGAGCTGCAACTTCGAAGTGCTGTCTACACAGCTAATTTTAGAGCACTAGTGCGAGCTGAACAATCCCGAGTCTGATGACCCGGATTAGGAGGCTCACTGCCTCTACACAGGCTCATGGGCTGTGTAGATTCAGAAGTACCCTAAATTGCCCTTGCATCAAAGGCATTAAATTTATTTAAGTTGCAAGGTACAACCCTCCAAATCTGGCATTTCCTAACTTTTAGGTTGCTCATACAACCTTGATTCTGTTCCCTTCAATATCCAACCTGTGCAACAAATAAGACAGGAGTTCTGCAAGGGGAAAAACAGGATGTGATCATGTAATTAAAGACTATCATAATGCACAGGCATGTTAGACCTTTTCAAAAAAGGCTGCAAAAAAACTTTTATAACGGAAAGTGTTCCGCAGTCTAATATGGGGGTTGCTACCAGCTCCCCCGTAATTTGACGTTTGTAAAAATCATGATGTAGAAATTACTCTATAGAGATTGCAGCCTTGCTTTGAAAGACTCTTTACTTAGTCCTGAGAAAAACAGTCATCTCTATACCATCCCGTCAGACATTTCTTAACAGCAACTACTTTTCATCTTCATGTGACAAATGCTTTGCCCATATAGTTAAATAAAGGGGAAGTATAAGGAGAACAAAATATAATTACCCCAAATTGGGGTTTGGGCAGGATCTGAAGGCTAACTCCTCTGACTTTCAGTAAAAAGTGTCATGAGGGCATAGAGTTTTCAAAGGTGCCTACAGTCCCATTTTAAAAAGTGACAGGCATTTTGTGGAATTTTCAAAAGCCCTTAGCACCGAACTCCTATTAAAATTAATGGACGTTTGGGAACTATATGCTTTTGAAAATCCCTCTGGACCAGTGGTCCCCGAACTGTGGGGCGCACCCTCTAGGGGGCACAGAGGAACACTCAGGGGTGTGCATGGAGGAGCCCAGGCCAGTCCCCATGGGGGGATGGGGAGAGAGCGCCACCCAGCCCCCATGTGGGGTAGGAAGGGAGTGCCACCCAGCCCCCAGCCACAGCTTTACTTTTCCCCTTACTCTACCCACAGCCCAGCTCTGGGCCCAGCCTCACTCCACCCCGTTCTGCCTCCAGCCCAGCCCAGCCCCAGCCCCACTCTCCATCCTGTGTTCCGCTGCCAGCCCCTGCTCCACTCCACCCCCAGCCCTGCCCTCATCCCCTCTCCGCCTCCAAGCCACCCTTCCTCTATCCCTAGCTCTGCCCCCACCCCAGTTCAGGCCCCAGCTCTGCCTTCAGCCCAAGCTCCTCTGCTGAGCCAACTATGCAGTAATGGGGGGGGGGGGGCGCGGCGCGCAGACAGATTCAATTACTGGCAATGGGGGGATGCAAGAGAAGTTTGGGCACCACTGCTCTAGACACCTTTCTGTATCTTTAGACACCTGACTATCTGTAAAAATCTGACCATGAGGCACTTAAGAGCCTAAGCTTCACTGAAAGTCAATGATATTTAAGAGTTTAGGTCACTGCTGAAAATGGGACTTGTGTGCTTTTGAAAATTTTACCCAGGATTTTTAATAATCAAAAGCGATTAGGGCCTGAGTTAATACTCACCCTAAAGGAAGTATCTCCAGCAGCACAGTGCTTCTTAACACCATGTTTTTAACTAAGACACCAGACTAAAGCTCTGAATATTTATGGTCATTAAATATCTCAAAATTTCTGCAAGGACAGAGGTATTAGACCAAGTAGCCTTGTTGAATTCCAGTGTGGATAATTACAATCTGCCCAACTAAATTACTCTGTCATTTCGATAGGAAGCCACTTCCATTTCACTGCTGGGGGTGAAGTGATATCTGCATACAAATTAAAGAACTTTGGGATGAAAGGTATGGTATCAGAGTGGGGGGATTTTATGCAATCTTAAACAAGAGGCTTACAACATCTCTCACATGAAGGGAAATTTCAAGATTTTCTAAGACCTAAATGAGAGAGAGACAGACACTGAATAATTTTAAGAGGTTTTAATTAAGTTGAGAAGTAAAGACATTTATTCAACAACTCTATTAATATTATCAGGATACAACAGCCCTTGAAGGTGTTGACTGGGTACACTGGGAAAAAAACCAATAAAATCCTGTTATTTACACTGGTCAGAGAGTCCTGTTGAAGCCCTTCTAATCAAAGAGAAACAAGAGTATGTTTCATGGTAACAAGTATAGTGCAATGTATAGTTATTGAGCATAATCCTGGGTTACCTCACTGTATGCAATATTCGTTTTCTTCACTTCTACCAAAAATGTTTTTCCTCTTTCATAATTGCCATTTTAAAAAACAATGTAGTTTGTAATTTTTAACTCTAGGGAAAGTCTATTTGCCACAAGCAATGCTGAAGCACGTTCACCCTTTTTCTGATAGGGAAGGTGGCAAGGGAGAGGGCTGATCCACTGAGGTACCACCACCACCACAGTCAAATTCTCTCCTTGTACTAAAAATGAAGTTCCACTGGGATATACAGGGGTGGATCACTTTACACTCTCTGCAAGTTTGATTACAGGACTTTAAAGGGGCCAATTCTTCTCACCTCCCAAACTGGATGATGACCTGAGAAATGAAGGGGGGAATATACAAAGAAGAAAAGTGAGCCGCACCACTTGTGGCAGGGTCTGCAGCAGATCCTCAAACTTTTGTACAGTGTAGCTAATTATTTAAATAAAAAATTACACACAATGCTGTAAGCCAGCAAAAATTATTTCACTACAGCCACAATGTGCTTCTTCTTTTCTGGCACAAAGGGCGAGGATCCTGGTTTGCTGTGTTTACGGCGATTCAGTTCCCTGGAAACAGACAAGAAAAAGAGAAAAGTGAGATTGAGAATGTCAGCAGTAGGTGTGTTCAAGTTCAGAAATACTAGCTTCTTGCTTAGAGTACTACAGCAAGTGTTCCACCGCTCCTAAAAATTCATGTCTTCAGAGTCCAAATCAATTGAGGTGGCTGAAATTTATTAAATTTTTCCCTTAAAAAAGAAACACTGTCCATATGAAAACCCTTTAAACTGCAAATTTAGAAGAGTTCACATTTTTAAGAGCCTTCTTTCTAGAGCATGCAGTTTGACCTGCCAGTATCTTGCAGAGCAAAGGATTTGCCCTCAAAGTAGGGGAGAATGTGGAGCATATAAGAGCAAACAGGGAAAAAAATATTCCTAACTCCCAGCTAGTGAGGAGCTTTTCCTATGAAACAAAGTTATTTTTAATTATTTATTTTTAATTGTAGATAAATATCTGCTCCCTGCAGATAATCCTATAGGAGTCTTTCAACTGGAAGTGTGGCCAAACCAGAGTGTAACAAACATGTTCAGCCCCACCACTTCCCATTTCCTCTCCATGCATGTGTCAGCCAACTTCTCTTCTTTCAGTACCATGGCACCAGCCATGCACAGATGCTTTCAGCTCCCCATCCCTTTCTGCTCCCAGGGACCTGTAGAGATGTCCTGGGGAACTGAAAAACCTCTCACACTGATCCTGAGGCCTAGCACCTACAAGGAGCCAGAAGACCCTCATCTTCCCACATCAAGACTCATCCCTCTGATATGACTACACATAAGGCTGGGAGGGGGTGTTGCCCCCCCCCCCCATAACCTTATGTCCTTTTCCACCCTTTCAGAAGGCCTGGGAAGGAAACTAGTTCTTGCTACTACTGGCAGCTTGGTCTGCACTTACCACTCCACAGAGTCCAAAACAACCAGTCTAATAATTGATTTATTCACTTGACTAAATCAATACCAGTCATTCATAAGAGCTGTTCCCTTGTTAGAGGCCCCATGCATTGATGCCACAGCAATGGCACAGCATATGTTTTACTAAGACAAAATGAAAACAAAAGGAAGAGTCGTACTTTCGCCGACGAGCTTCTCGCATGATGCGCAGCTCCTTGGCCTGGCTATAGATGGCTTTGGGCAGGTGACGGTGACGAGCTATGCGCTTGATCTGTGGGTGGTGTTGGAACTTCTCCTTCAACTTTTGGTTGTAATTCATAGCTGCTCTCTCTCGTGGTACGAGCTACAGAAGACACAAGTGTGTTATAAACAGCACCGGTTGCAATAACATCACCGTCTCTAAAAGCAAACTACAAGTTTAGACAGCTTCAGTGGTTTCTTCTGGCCATTTCTGTCTAGGTGTTATAAACCTAAAAGCAGAGTCTTTAAGACTAGTAAATATTTTTTTCTAAAGAAGTGTTACATTTTGTCACCCCACTGCTCAAATATAGTACCATAATTTTAAGTTTCACAAAAGTTACAACGTAAGTTCATTTGTCTAAGAGCAGACTTTATTCTGCCACGGGGGAGGGGTGTGTGTGTGTGTGTGTGTGTGAGTGTGTATGTGTGAGAGAGAGAGAGAGAGAGAGAGAGTGTGAAACTGGTGACCTGCTAGTATCCTGCAGAGCAAAGGATTTGCCCTCAGAGTAGAATGTGGAGCATATAACAGCAAACGGGGAAAAAAATATTCTTAACTCCCAGCTAGTGAGGAGCTTTTCCTATGAAACAAAAGATTCAAAGGCTTTTCAGTTTTTATCTACTGTAACTAGAGATGCTGCTAAGGACGTGTCTAGCTATAGCGAGGTGGCCAACTTGAGCCTGAGAAAGAGTGAGAATTTACCAATGTACACTGCCAAAGAGCAACAGTAATACATCAGCAGCCCCCCCCATAAGCTCCCCCACCCCATTCCCAGCACCTCCCACCCACCGGCAGCCCCACCGATCAGTGCCTCCTGCCGCTCCCTCCCCCACCTCCCGATCAGCTGTTTCATGTGCAGGAGGCGGGGCGGGGGGGGGAAGGAGTGAGGGTATGGCAGGCTCAGGGAGGGGGCGGGAAGGGTGGAGTGGGGTCAGGGCCTGTGGCAGAGTCAGGGGTTGAGCAGTGAGCACCCCCGCACTCTCCCCCGGCACATTGGAAAGTTGGTGCTTGTAGCTTCAGCCCCGGAGTTGGTGCCTATACGAGGAGCCGCATATTAACTTCTGAAGAGCCGCATGTGGCTCCCAAGCCAAAGGTTGGCCACCCCTCAGCTATAGCCTCTCCCTACAGAAGGAATATTCTCTTCACTGGGTCGGGGGCATGCTCCAAGCTTACCCAGCATCTTCATCCACTTTAATGGAATTAGTCCATTGGGAACTGCAATGTGCACATGAGAACTGTAAGCTTTATCTTGCCAATATTGCACATATGGAGTAATTTTTATTTCTCATTAAGCAGTCGAATTGATACTTTATCACAGAGAGTACAGGCATTACAAGTGCATTAAAATTACTAAGAGCACTTTAATTTTTTGCATTATGTCTATTTAAAAAGTATAACCAAAATGCTGTTAACAGCTTTTTTTCTTTTGGCGCTTATTATTAGAAATGGACTATCCCATCACCTTACAAATGACCTGCAGAAAGGGTGTTTGTTAAATGGGGTTTGTGCCCTTTTATTGCCTATGTTGTGTAAGAAAGGTTGGTAAATGGTTGTTTTGAGTGTGTGCTTTTAAACACACAGCTTATTTAGAACTCAAACGTTTGGTCTTCTATGGTTTAGCTGGAAGTTATATATGTCCTCCGTTTTCCCACCTATCGTGCCTTCCACGTTCTCCGCCCTCCCCACAAAAAACAGTTTGACTAAAAACCCTTCCCATTCTTAGGAGGCACCTATGTTAGCCTCCCCCCGGTAAATATTTCAACTGCTGCTACAACCAGTGGGAAATTTTAGAAAAATAAGGATAGTGTAGACAGCTTTCAATTTGACTCATAATTTCACTAGTGCTTTAGTTAGTATAGAGCAGGAGTGGCCAAATGGTGGCTCCTGGGCTGCATGTGGCTCTTTTACGGTTAAGTGCCACTCCCGGAGCACCCCATACACCCCCTCCCCCCATTCTTTGCCTACAAGACTGAAGCTCGGGGCTTTTGCCCTGCGGTGGGGTGGTGGGACTAGGGGTTTCTGCCCTGCAGCGAGGAGGATCTAAGGGAGTTAGTCCAGCCGGGGGGAGAGGGGGGGCATTGGGGCAGAAGTCCTGCACCCCAGCAGGTGCTGCCCCACGGGGCAGGTTGTACGTGTCTTGCGGATCTAGAACTTCTGAAGATTAGTGTATGCGGCTCAGAGGGTCAGTAAGTTTGGCCATCCATGCTATAGAGCCTTCCAGGGTGAACAAGATCAGAATTTCCAACGTAAGAGAACAAGAAGAAACTCTCCCCTTCATGTACAAAGTTTTAAAAAAACCCAAAACATGGTTTGGTTTTGCTTTTAAAAGGGCCCTCCTTAACCCCTCCCAATTATTTTCCCTTTTAGAGGTCACCTTTAATAGAAGTTCTCAGACAGAAATATTTCATAAATTCTGGAAATATACTTCACCTACAGACTCAGACCAAAAGTGTGTTAAATATCTTGCTTCCAAGTCCTTAATTAAGAAAAACAAAAAACCCCTCTCCCTTCGGTGCAACAGAGAAACTAGAATGCCACATGTGCAGTTGCCAGTTATCCATCACTTAAATAGGAAACATGTTTTCAAACATCAAAGTAGTAAAAATATTCTAAAATTTGGTTTCTAGATCTTCTAATCCATTGAACACATCTTCCATTCTAATTACATCTGCGATCATCTCCTAAATTTCAATCAGTGAGCAACCCCAGCAGCCATTACTGGTTAATTCTCCCCCCACCCTCTGCAGTCAAGTTCATTATACTGAGCCAGCCTAAATAGCTGGTTCAGTTGCAATCAATCCCAGGCATTCTCCCTGTGCCACAAACTGCCAACATAATCCAAATTAAAGGGCTTTTATTTTAATGCAAATCAATGATTTTCTTAAATTCAATTAAAGAAGAACAAATTGCTGCTGATTTAGTGTAACCTTGCTGACAAAAAAGATCCTGTAAATTAACATATGAAACATCCAGGATGTCATGTTAAAAACTTGATAGATATCAACACAGGGTCAGTTATTTTAAAGTCTGTTGCATCTTTTTCAGGTAATTTTTATATGCCTTTCATATACCTGGTTATATTTGGATATTTACTGCCTAACTGTGAAGAGTGGATGATTATAGCCCAGTATGCATAGCTACCTTATCCAAAGGGCTATCAAAGATAATTTTGGCCATTTGGACATCATTATTGACTAAATGACTATCAAAGATGAAAACACAACATACCATAGAAAAGAGACAGCACGAGAGAGGCAAACAGACTCCCATCCTGCAAGCAGCTTTACAATGGTGGACTAAGCACCTGTACAGAATTCCATTGACTTCCATAGTGCTTTCTGCAAGTGGGAGGGAGAGGGAGGGTCACCCATGCACAACAGGCTTGCAGGACCAGGTCCATAGAGTTGAGAGACTAAAACATTTTACACTTTAACACATTAGGATTTATACAATTCTATGGGTGGTTGACAAGTCCTGCCTAAGGCACTTAACCTATGTGCACATTCCTAACCAGCACCAGTGTATAGACAGCTTTGGGTTTTCGCAAATCCAAGGTCAATTTTCATCAAAACAAACTCCACTCCTCTTCATAAAAGAAGTGTTTAACACTACCATGCAAAAGAACTCAAGTTGATTGACCATAAAAATCTTTTCAATCCCTAGACTGATAGGAACTAGAAATATAAGGGATAAAAATATAAGGGATAAAAAATAAAAGAGGTGATGTAGGGAAGGAAGGAGTGGTTGCTGGGAACAGAAGTCTGGAGAGAGAAACAAGGAAAGAAACTCTAAAAATGGCACCTATATTGTCAGTACTGGTAAAATCTGCCCTAGAATCAACTCTCTCGATTGTTGTATCTTAGGCCTGATCTACACTTAAAAATTAGATGGACCTCAGGGCTGTAAAAATGTCATGCTCTGAATGCTGTAGTTAAATTGACCTAACCCCTGGTGTAGACGCAGCTAGGTCAACAGAAGAATTCCTCCATTGATCTAGCTACCGCCTCTTGGAGAGATGAATTAACTGCATCAACTGAAAAACTCCTTCCGTCAACGTGGGAAACGTCTGCGCTACAGCACTACAGGGGCACAGCTGCAACACTGTAGCTATAGTATAGACGTGGCCTTAGTAGGAGAGGTACAGCCCAATCATTTTCAGTGCCCTCTCCACTGTACATAGAATTTAGAGAAGAGGTTCTCAAAGGAGTCCTTATCCAAAGAACTGTCTGTTGAATGGGAATAATTAAGAAACTGAAATCATGCTCCTTTTAAATAGGACTGCATTTGTACTGCACTTAAGCTCAAAAACACAGTAGTAGGACTTCAGCAACTCAGCTGCTGCTATCTATCCTGCCCAGAGAATGCCTTTTAGGTTAAAAAGAAAATTAAAGTGCTCTTAGTAATTTTAATGCACTTGTAATGCCTGTACTCTCTGTGATAAAGTATCAATTCGACTGCTTAATGAGAAATAAGTTTAGATGAGCTATTACCAGCAGGAGAGTGAGTTTGTGTGTGTATGGGGGTGGGGGGGATGTGAGAAAACCTGGATTTATGCAGGAAATAGCCCGACTTGATTATGTAAAGAGTTGTCACTTTGGATGGGCTATCACCAGCAGGAGAGTGAATTTGTGTGGGGGGGGTGGAGGGTGAGAAAACCTGGATTTGTGCTGGAAATGGCCCACCTGATGATCACTTTAGATAAGCTATTACCAGCAGGACAGTGGGGTGGGAGGAGGTATTGTTTCATATTCTCTGTGTATATATAAAGTCTGCTGCAGTTTCCACGGTATGCATCTGATGAAGTGAGCTGTAGCTCACGAAAGCTCATGCTCAAATAAATTGGTTAGTCTCTAAGGTGCCACAAGTACTCCTTTTCTTTTTGCGAATACAGACTAACATGGCTGTTACTCTGAAACCTTTTAGGTTAGGGAAGCTAAATCCCCAATGCAACATTTATCAGAATTCAGACATATTCTGCCAATGCCTCTTACTGCAGCTCACTTTTATTTACACATATTCCCTACTGTAGCAGGGCAGTTACCCCGCTCCTGGGATAAAAGGAGTGAGAGCAGCTAGGGGCCGCCTGGCTGAGTGGCTGGACACAG